GCGTGGATGTGCAGCACCGACACGCCCAGCTTGATGCACTCGTGCATGTCGTCCGCCATCTCCTCCGGCGAGCACGGGAGCGCCGGATTCCGCTCCTTTGTGTTGATGTTGCCCGTCGTCGCCAGCGTGATGATGAGCTTGCCGTGGTCCTTCTGCAGCGCCGTCGGCTTCGCCTCCGGGTCGCCGATGCTCTCCTTGTCGAGGCGCTCGCCCCAGCGCATCGCCACCGGCGAGCGCAGCCGCGAGCACGAGGCGCCGCCGACGCGATGCTCCCGCACGGCACGAGGCGCCGGCGAGGCGAGGTAGCCTGCTGCGGCCTGGCCGGAAGCGAGCAAGAGCATTTTTCCGCAGCAACGAAGGAAGAAGAATTTTACAAGCACTCCGTCGCACAACACTGGGCACGGGAGAAGAACCGTAAGCTTGCTTGAAGCCACCACCCAGCTCCTCGTTGGACGCGTCTTCCGTTGTCGCATCCAAGGACAAGGCGAGCGAGCGTGTCCCGACCACCCAGCCGGCCAATTGAAGGAAAAGGAGTTCCGCCCTAAATGAAGTCACATTCTCCCCTGGCGAGTAGAGGCCCCGCCCACACCCAGGGTACCCCTCTCGAGGGACCCATTGGGTAGGCTCTTTCGAGGACTCGCCGGGGCTCTGCTCCAAGAGACCTCGAGAGAGCGTGCGTGTGCCTCTACTCGCCAGCATTCTCCCGGGTTTCCTCGAATGAACAAACACTATTGCTAAAAATCTCCTCTCTCTCGAATGAACTAAAGAATTAAGCGTGAACCGCCGGACGCCAGCTGAAGCCGCCACCCCAGCTCCGCCTCGTTGGACGCGTCTTCCGTTGTCGCATCCAAGGACAAGGCGAGCGAGCGTGTCCCGACCACCCAGCCGGCCAAATGAAGGAAAAGGAGTTCCGCCCTAATGCCTAAATGAAGTGAGCGAACGAACCGCCATACCCCCCAGCTGAAGCCGCCACCCAGCCGCCCTTCCTTGGACGCGACCTCCGTTCGCATCCAAGGACAACTGCCGCGCGAGCGAGCGCCCGCGTCCGACCAGGCCGAGGCGCCCGAGACCTTCGTCGCGCCGGCCTTTCGCGGGCTTTGCGGTTTAGGGAGCAAAAGAACTAAAGGGACGGACGGAAAAACACCCCCCTTTTATGCCTGACCCTGGCCATGGCCTCTCTGGGGGTGAGCTGGGCCGGCCGCCTCCGGGTCCGCCACTCGCACGAT